GCCCACCATGTACTGGCGCTGTGGAGAAGGCCATCAGTCAGCCATGCCATTGTACAGGAGCCCTGTTCCCAAAACCCACCTCTGCAGACAGCCCCAGACAGCCACTTCATGTGCCAGCATCCCAGAGTAGAGCCCCAAGACCTGGGAACTCTAGAGAAACCTGAGCCACTGATTTTAGTCACAGCTCTGGGCGTGCCGCAGAGTGGCAAGGAAGGGCTGGATTGTGGCTTTCTCCTGCCCCGTGGGAGCTTCTGGGAGTCCAGATTCGGGCTGCAGTTCCACCAGGAGCAGCCACGTTTCCCAGGACTTTTATCCAAGGTGAACACCCAGGTTCTAGGACACATCCTCCAACGCCCTGAATGTGTATTCTGCCTCCCTGCCCCAGTGGGTCTCTTCTAAAACGTAAAACAATAAAATGCCATCTGCACATCTGTATGAGACCTCACAAATTTAAGGTACCTTGACACAGACCACATGGGATGAGTGGGCATCTGCCCAGTCTCTGCCCAGACTACTGAACTCCTTTCACTTGAAGACTCTGCCCTGTCCACGTCTCACTGAGAAACTCGCCCCTAGAAAAACAGCACACGTCTGTGCCCACCTGAGCAGTGTGTGATGCTGAGAACCAAACACGGAACTTGAGGAAGTCCAGCTGTCTTGGGGTCCGAGATCTTGTCCAGGTTCTCAATGTCCTGAATGAAGAACTGAGTAGGACACCTATAAGGAGCACCGAAAGCAAAGCCCATTTTGCACACAGAATCACGCTCCACAGAGCTGCATGGGCCAGTGAGGAGAGTCCATGGCCCAGAACAGTTTGGTAGGGGTTAGAAATTAGAGTTTGGGGTGGGGCTGAGGGTTGACAGACATCAGGCAGGGGTGCGCTGGCTTGGAGGTGAGCAGAGCCTGTCAATCACAGAGGCCGGGACAGCACCAAAGGGTGCCCAAGGCCCCGTGCATGGGACTCCCCATCGCTCCCAAGAGAGGCAGCTGGCCATGTGAGGACACAGGCACTGCGTGGACTCTGGGCTTCCCATGGTGCATGCTCTGACCCCCAAGGCATGGAGCACGTTTTATTTTGCCTTCTCCCTTTCCTTTCTTTCAGCCCGAGTTTTGCGCTGCAGAGCTGTTCTCTCTCATCCCTTCGTCTCGAGCTTTTCAAATCAACTTTGGCTCTGTTTCTGGTTCAATATATCCAGTTTTTCACTCAGGGCAAAAAGGACCTGGGACACTTCTGGCCAGCAAGCCACTTCTAAAGAAAGTCGGGCTGAGGCTGTGCCCCTCACTGGGCAGTGGTGTCAAAGCCACAGTCAGCAACATGGTGATGAGGGCTGGGGCCAGCTGAGGCTGCCGAAGACCGCTGAGTGCACGACCTGGGTCACCTGCTCACTTTCTCCCTGTATGTAGACTGGGATATTCTGGCCCTGGCCAGTGTTTAACTCAGCAGGTGGTGCTGGCCCAGACAGCGGGTCCAAGGCAGGCCCTCTCTTCTCTCTATAGCTGTCTCTTTGGCCATGTCTTGGCTGACGCCTGGAGATACACTTCCAACTGTTCCCCAAATGCACAGAGGGTGGTCTTGAGCCACGATGAGCTCACCCTGGCTCCCTCCGAGCTGTATTGCTATCAGGGCTGAGTGCTGCAGCTCAGCGAGTGCAAGGCCTCACGTGATTGCCATAGCTCGCTGCTGATGTAGCCCTGGGTTCCACAGTGCGTCTGTTGAATGCTGGGGTGCCGGACATGGACGCCCAGGGTGAATCCTGCAGAAACCGACGATGCTATTGCTTAAGGTCTCAGTGAGCATGAGGAGAAAACACAGGCACAGTGCCTTACACAGAGGAAGTGCTAAGGCGTGCTGGCTCCAATTGCTACCCTGCCTGCTCAATGTCGCCAGATTACTCGCTAAGCACACTTTTCTGATCTCTCCAAGTCACCAGATAATCATTGACCAACCCAGAACACATATATCAGAGCCTCTGGGGATGGGCTGTCTGGCTGTTTCATTAGACAGATTAACAGTGATGAATGTCAAAGGCTGTGGGTTCAATTCCTGCCTCCAGCCCATCCCCACTATGGGGCTCAATCAAGCAAGCAAGTGGTCTGTGCTCCAGGCCTGACCTACACCAAGCGAAGGATCTTTCCTGGGAGGTTGTGGACAGTAAGTAAAACTCCCTGCAAAGCTCCTGGGAAGCAGCAAAAACTTCACAACTGCAGTTGTTATTGTCACAAGATCTGGTCGCCACTTGCCCAGCTGGATTCACAGGTTGCATTCAGTGACTTGTCAAAGGGCCCCTTAAAGACACATAATACTGTTTTCTTTCTTTCTTTTTTTTTTTTTTTTTTAATCGGTACCAGGGATCGAACTCATGACTGCACGCTTGCAAGACAGGCGCTTATGCTGCTGAGCTAAATCCCCAGCCTCAACACTGTTTTCTTACACGTTGCACACCAGAGCTCCAACCTAGGTCTCAGGCATGGTGAGGACATGCCCCACCACTGAGCCACAGGCCCAGCCAAATACGTCTACGTCAGGCCCTTGCAAGGAAACCAAGGTGTGGGGCACTGCCTCCATGCCACCAGGGAGCTGCCACCCTCAGGAAAGGACCGGACCCCCAGGAGCCCCAGAAGGGCTGCGGTGCTGTTGAGTGTGGTCCTGCCGAGGCATGGTCCTCTGCATCCTTTATTTCCCCCCTAGGAACCCAGGTCTCTTGAGCTGCCCTGAGAATTATTCTGGAAAGCAAACACTGCCTAAGGAGACACTGGAGGATAGGAACTATGCCTCAGGTTTTGGAGGTTCCCAGAGGGCTATGAAAATTTGAAGGAAGACATTTCAAAGTGATTTTCAGGGTCTTAGACAGCCCCACCTGCCAATTACATCACAATCTGTGTCCCACTTCATTTATGTAAAGAAATGGTTAATAGTCAGAATGCTTTTTTCATTTGTGACACATATATAGCATGTATTCTTTAAAAAACTATGAGAAAAATAATCTCTATTGCTACTGATAAAGTCCAACAAACACTGACATATGTACCAGTTAATATTTAACGAGGTTGGCAGACAAAGACTAGATTATTAAAGAACTGTCTGCTGCCAGGAGCAAATGCAGGGCGGGTCACCAGAAAAAGGCCAGCAGCCAGACAGTGCCAAGCTTGTGTGAAGACCTGCCTTTCCCGTAAGCCTCTCTCCACCACCTCATCACATACAAAGTGCCTTCCTCCATCCACACTGCTGGAAAGGCAAAGCTTTGGACAGGCCAGCTGTGAGGCCAAGAGCAAAAGCACTGAAGGAGACCCAGATCCTTTGGTATGGAAATCACACTTGAAGCGATGCTTTACATCACAGCATGGACTGCACATCATCACTCTGCTGACTTCCAGGATTTGCTTTCCTTAAGACCTTCAGTCACTTGGAGCTCTTTCCTCTTCTGCAGGTAAGTTAGAAGGTAGCCAGGGCTGAACCAGAGCCACACGGTTTCAAGAACCGAGACAACCAAGATACTTTTCCTCTCCATTTTGCTTTCACCCTCCCCACCATCATGACCACGCTTGATCCACGCCCTCTTTTTCTGAACCTTGTCTCTCCTAATCTGAACAGTTACACCCACCATGCCCTCAGCTCTAGGACTGACTCCGCTCAGAAGAGGGACACATGCCCCCTGGAGCAACTCAGCACCACCCAAAGCCCCGGGCTTGGGCCCACTCAGAACTCCTTGCCAGCAAGAGTACTCTGTCCTGCTACACGAAGCCTACGGTACCTGATGCCACCACTGGACTGTTTCCAGACACTCTTCCATAGCATGACCAGACCTTGTCAGGAAGTCACACAGCGTCAGGCAGGCAGAGGCAGAATGACTCCGAGTGAGGAGTCCTCAGCACATGCCCGATAATCTTTCCCATTAACCTGATTACCTCCTGGTCGGTGAAAACAGAAGTGGCATTTTAGCATGCCATGGATGGGACAAGTTGGCCCTGGAACTTTTACCGATTATCAAAACAAGCACCACCACATTATCTGCAAATTTGCCTGCAATAAACGAACGGCTCAGCAACTTTATCAGTAAACAAACATACATACCATCAGATACGATCACTGGAGAGTCCAAGTGGGGTTTTAATAAGCTCCTTTTATACTGCGGCAATCAGCTGAGCCTTCATTATAAACCTGCAGGCTCAGCCCCTAAGGTGATAAGCAGCCAGCCTTCCCCTCAGCGCACATACCTCAGGAAAGGGGCCACCCGTCTGTCAGGAGAATCAGTGGCTGGCCTGTCCACCTCTGTCTCTTACAAGACTTTTAGAATTGTAAGAGTTGAACTACCTAAGTGCTAAAAACTTCAACACTTTAAGAATCAAGCCTAAGCTTTCAAAACACCTGATGGCTGGGGTGGAGAATGTGAACTGTGGAGGAAGACCTCCATGGGACCCATTTGGACTGCAGAGGCTCCATCTTGGCCCTAGTGTGGCCAGGCTGGGACCCAGGCACCATAGCAGAAGGCAGGCTGGCTTTGTAAAGTGAACGTTAAGAAAAATGACCTCAAGTTACTTCCATAGTTCCCATTCCCACACACTTTTGTATCTATGCGTCCCCGTCCTGTGGGCCTCTGGGGCACTGCTCTAGTCCGCCCTGCTACAGGAAGGCAGACATCTGTGTCTGCTGGAGGAGAAGGGGCTGCTGTGCTCACCTGCTGAGCCACCCTTGCCCTGTGCCATCTCAGGGTCCACCTTGCAGGCCCTGTTCCTCTTTCCTCCTGTCACCCAGCTAGGACTGACTCTTCTCAAGGCCAGGCCCGGGGTAGGAGGAGTCTCACGAGGGTGGCTGCAGGACACAAGCTCACAAGCTCTCGGCCCGCGACTCTGACTGCATTAACTCCGCACCCCCAACACTGCGTTCCAGGGCTACGTGAGGAAGTTCCTGATGCAATCACCACGGGAGAGAGTGTTCCGAAGGCCAATAGGCAATGATTTACTTAGCTGAAAAGGATGGTGCAAGAGAAATGTTTCCAAGATTTATTTTTCATTAATTTTATTTATATTAGGTAGTTTTGACTCAGAATTAATCTTATCATTTTTCAGTTTGAGATGTGTATATGTGTGTGTGTGTTGTCTGTTCCCATGTAATACCTCTGAAATTTTATTTGGTATAACTTCACATTGTTATAACTTCACATTTTTGGTATACAGAAAGAATTTTAGTTTCTTAACACAGCACAGTAGCCGTATCTGCATTATTCCCTAGAGTATGCAATATATAAATTATTCACATTAGAAAATTCAGAACCGAAAGCTTCATATGCAGGAAATATGTACAAGGTATGCCTAGTGTGATCTGTGTTTGACAACACGTACTATAGCTTTACAATCCAGACGGACAGACGGACCTGTAGGCAGAAGAGGGCGGCTCCAGGCGCTCTCCTCGCACACCTGACAGTTGCGCTCGCGTCACTTTGGTCAGAGATCTCACCTCGGAGGCCAAGGGCAGGGCGGAAAGACACTTCCGGAAGTCCACTTAGTACAGAGGCCTATAAGTTTCTGTTGCTTCTATTCTCCTTTATAACGAGGCGTCCTCTTCTCTTTAAAAGCAAGAAGACCTTCCAGTCTGTCTTTTGTTGGAATAGTCTAAGAAAAATAAAACATTACACATCAAAAATTAAAAATACAACAGTAAAAACCAGTCATGGATTATCTAAGCAAGCTAGTCAGATGTTCATTCTAAAACCTTGAAATCTATCATCTGAGTAATTCTCCTTACTATTTGATCAAATTCATTACCCTTACTCTAAATATTGTCTTTGTTTCAAATATACTTTTAAAAAATTAGCATCCTGGTCCGTGGTACACCTGTTACAAGTGAGAGCCAACAGAGATACACTAGTTACTTAGGGCGCAGTTTCTGTTACAGTTAACTATCGTGCAGGGCATTCCAGGAGTCTGACAGAGGCCTGGCTTGTGCCCCACCCCATCCACCATGGAACACTCTCACTGAATGACACACCTGCTCACCTGACCTGTCTCTCAGCGCTCCAGTTCCCTTTCTCAGAATGTCACTAAACTGGAATCACACAGTTCCTGGGCATCTTGGTTGAGTTCTGCTTAGCAGTAAGTACACACTAATGGTTGCTCCATGTCTTGCTGCACGCTAGTAACTGACTGCTGTATAATATTCCACTGGTAGCACAGTTTATCCACTTACTGCTGTGAAGGGCCTCTTGATTGCTTCCAGGCCTTGGCAATTATGAATACAGCTTGACTTGCAGGGTTTTGTGTGGATATGTTTTCAACTAATTTGGGTAAGTACCAAAGAGCATGATTGCTGAATCATATGCTGAGAGCATAGTTTTATCAGAAACTGCTGAACTGTCTTACAAAGTAGTTCAAACCATTCCTGGTAGCAGTGAATCAAGTCCACATCCCCATAAGCACTTGGTACTTTTAGTGCTTTGGAATTTTGTCATTACAGCAGTTTGTAATTGGCATCTCAAAATGCTTAATTTAGAATTTCTTTATGAATTATGTGTTGGCATCATTTCTATGACTATTTATCAATTATTTATCTACTTTGGAGCCTGTTTAGATCTTTGGTCCTTTTTTTTGGCGGGGGGTGGGGGGGAGGGTATATGGGGATTGAACTCATGACCCCATGCTTACCAGGCAGGTGCTTATGCCACTGAGCTAAATCCCCAGCCCGTTTGGGTCCATTTTTAATTGGGTTACTTATTGTTGAATCTAAAAGTTCTTTATTTTAGAAATAAGACCTTTTCAGATGTGTTCTGTGGATTTTTCTCAGTCCACATCTCTTCATTCTTTTAGCTGTATCTTTTACATGCACACACAGAAGGTAACTTTATTAAAGACATACATTGAATTTTTTCTTTTATGGGTTGTACTTTCAACATGATAGCTAAAGAAAATCAACTCCAAACTCACTGAGCTCTTCCCTACATTATCTCCTGTGAATTTTATCATGTATTTAGTTTCTGACTGGTCTTGAGCTGCATCTTGAGGAAAGCTCAGGGTGAGTGTCCATACCATTTTCACATGTGTGAACATCCAGATGTTCCAGTAAGACCTTCTTCAGGTCCACTGTGGTACCCCGGCTTTTCTGTCGCTCAGCTGCCTGCACTCACGTGAGTTTGCAAATGGGCTTTCAGTTGTGTCCTGTGACCTACTTACTGATTCTTCCTCCAGTGCCAGTGTCTGACCTTGGTGGCTCTGTGGGAGCCCCAGTTAGGTTAGGGTTAGACTTGCTGCCAGCAACACTGTTCTGGCTCTTCTGATGCCCTGTACTTTCCATACGAACTCTGGAATCAAGCTCGCAATAGTACCAAAGTAGGATTTTTACTAACTGAGTTAAATTCATAGATCAGGTTGGGGAGAACTGACATCTTAACAACATTGTCTTCCTATCCACGAACATGGGCAATCTTCCTTCCCCACAGCGCTGTTTTTCACTTACAGATTATGTCTTGTAGATACATACCTAAGGTTTTTGAGTGCTAATGTAAATGGTATTATTGTATTTTAAAATTCCAATTCTATTTTTTCACTGCTAATACTTAGAGAAGCAACTGACTTTTGTATATACATCTTGTTTCACATAATCTTGCTATACTTGCTAGAGAAGGTTTTTGTTGTCTTTGAGTCTTTAGCATTTCCCACTTAAGACAATCATGTCATCTGTGACCAGTTTTATTTCTTCCTCCTCCATATGTACATTTTTTACAATTCTTATGTTTTGCCTTAATGCATTGGCTAGAATTTCTGCGCGGTGTTGGAAGGGCACAGTGACAGGAGACTTCTGGCCTTGTCTCTGCCTGGTCTCCTCTTGCCCGACCATTAGCTATGATCTCTGGGTAGACGTTCCTATCAACTTGAAGAAGATTCCCATTCATAGTTTGTGGAGCGTTATAATAAATAGTAACTGCCTCAGAGCAAATGCTTTTTTTTTTTTTTTTTTGCACCTACTGTCATGGTTTATGTCTGTGTCCCCCAGGCCTCATGATTTTGCATTGGGCATTTGTGCGTTTGCATTGTCTAGTGCTTGGATTGATGGTGTTAGTGCTACACCCACTTAGGGGTGGAGCCAGGACGTGATGTAATGGCAGGAAGAAGGTGTGTCTTGCTCTTTGCTGGTTCATCCTTGCTGTTTGCAGCCGCCATGAACGGCGGCCCAGCCATGCCCGCCTGCCTTGGAGCCAACTGAGTGTGGACTGAAACCTCCAAAAACTATAAGAAATAAACTTTTCCTTTCCCAGCTTGGGCTTCAGGTATTTTGTCTCAGCAATGAGCATAAAGTAACTAAGACACCTATTCATATGATCATGTAACTTTCTTCTTTACTACATTGATGTGATAGATTCCACACAATTTTCAAATGCTGGATTTTCAAATTCTAGGTAGTTGTGAGTATAAATCTTTTTATATATTATTAGATGCAACTGGCTATTATTTCATTAAGGGTTTTGAGGCCCACATTCAGGAGAGAAATTTGTCTTTAATTTTCCTTTCCAGTAATGTCTTGCTCTGGTATAGGTATCAGGAGAATTCTGACTTCACTGAGTATGTCAGAAGTTTACCTTCTGCATCTACTTTGTGGAAGAGATTATGGAGATGAGTTACTTCTTCTCTAAGTGTTTGATCAGGTGTGATTTACGCAGTGTGCATATGAGTTTTTGTTTTTTGAGTCTGCAGTTGTTTGTAAGATATTTATAATATAACTCAGTCATGGGATGTAGTCACCAATGACAGGTGACTTATGTATACAAAATGGACGCAGAGTGATGTTCCAGATGCCGCCGTTTCATAGCGATGCTGAACTAGTTTCCATTCTCAGGAGAGGGAAAACAACACTCTGCAGCTGTTTTAGGTCTTCTGAGGAGGTGAGGGGCACTTTCTTTTTGAATAGAAAGAACTCAGCTATCTACATATAAAAAAAGAAAACGAGCCCTTCTCTAGTGGACTTTGGTGGTCAGGAAAGAAGGCTGGGAAGTCTGGGAAAAGCCAGCACATCTCAAGCACCTCTGCTGTGTCGCAGATGCCCTCCTCCCGAGGGAGAAGCCAGGTCCACACCCCTGCATGACAACGTGACCTGCACAGACAGGGCCAGCACAAACGGCACTAATTTTGTCATTCCGAGTTTCCTAAGTGATGCAGTCAGTCATCACCCGCAAAACAGCATCAGTCACAAGGGCTGACAAGAGTCAAACTGCAGTCCCAGCTCGGATGAGACAGTGTAGTGTTGTGTAGCCTTACATAATTTATTTTAATTACACAGAAAGTGCACAGGACTTGGAATGTGTAGCCTCACTGATTTGGTGACTGTGTGACATACCTGAGCATAACAAGCTTCTTCTATGGCTAATCCTGTTACCAAGTCAACCTGAAAACAAAAAGAACTCATTTCAGCAGAAGGAATGACTGAATGAAAGGAGATGCAATACAAATTCAAGCGGGACAGTCTTATTCCAAAAGAACAGAATCCTTCAATCCAGGGCTGGGGATTTAGCTCAGCAGCATAAGCACCTGCCTTGCAAGCAGGCGGTCGTGAGTTCGATCCCTGGTACCGATTAAAAAAAAAAAAAAAGAATCCTTCAATCCAGTGCACCTGATCAGAAATACACACAGCTGCGAAACCAAAACCAGACTTCCTGGGCTCCCATCCTGACCCCATCCTGGGCGCTGAGTAACTTGGGCAAGCTACTTACCTTCTCTGCCTCAGACACCTAAGCAATGAGCTGACTGCACTGCTCAGGGAAGGGGATGCCGTGGAGTAAAGGAGTTAATCTATAAGCCATTAGAAAGCAGGATGGACAAACTACTATTACAAACAGACTGAAATAAACCAACTGAGTAACTGCTAACTTATAATAGTATAGCATAGCTAACAAACTCAATCTCATTTTACTGGCATAAAGTCAAAGAAGATATAGAGGCTTGTATGTCTTCAAAGAGAAAGGAGCTCTCTTTGAAGATCCCTAATTTAACCAGAACATAACAGCTGTCATTAGAGACCAAACCACATGAGTATCCTGGCCACCCTGACCCAGCCCCACTCCCTCAGGAACTGCACAAGCCACGAAAAGCCAAAAGAGGAGAGAGCAGGACACAGCTTGGACTGGCACGTTTTCCTTGGCATGCTTTTACAATGTGATAGTAACCCTAAACCTGTGTGACACGTGTGGTACACATAGTGTGAGGCAAGTATATGTGCGATGCATGTATGTTCATGATACACGTGTGCATGGTGCATGTGTGACACATGTGACATGTATTGCATGACATGTGTGATGCATGTATTACAAGTATGTGACAATGTGTGCAGCACATGTACATGTGTGGCATGTGTGTGAGGCATGTAATGCATGTGTGACAAATACGAGTGATGCATTTGTGTGTGACACGTGTGTATGCCATGTGACATGTATGTGACATCTATGAGTGTGATGCACATATGGGTGTTTGTATGTTTTCCTGGAGACACTCCATCTTCACGGCAGAAGTAACAAGCACATCACAAGCTGTGGAGCCCTGACAAAATTCTACATTCTACGTTCTGTGATCATGATGATGAATCGGCAGTAACTGACATGCAGGATTAAACAAAAGATGCAGCTGAAGAGAGCTCGGGGCTTTCCGAACGGCTGTACTGAAATCCTTGTATGTTAGCATATTAAAATAAGGCACAAGTCCAAACACCACGTGCCCATATTAAACTTCCACTATATTTTAAAAAACTCAAGCCTTAAGAAACTTACCTCCATCCCTTGATTAATTGCCAATTTTGCCACTCTCATTGCAACAGGTCCCTAAAATTCAAATTAAAGAGACAAACTTTAATTATGGGCTAGTAAGTACATTGCACACCTCAGTAAAATTCAATTTTCCAGAGCTGGATGCGTGGTGTGGTCAACAGCGGGTGCCAGACACCAGGTGAAAAACCCCTCTTCTAGTTTTGCAAGGTCTCAAACAGCTACTGTAACAGCCGAGTCCCACAGTGAGTTTGATTTTTATTGACTTATTTTTGGCACCAGGAATTGAGCTCAGGACCTGGTGCTCATCAGGCTGGTGGTCGAGCGGCCCCCAGTGAGCTTGGAGGCATGGGGCCCTTTCTTGCAGGACCCCCAGAGCTGTCCCTGTGCTTTTAAGATGGGAGTGCCAAGGAATACGTGACACTTTCTGAACTAAAACCTCAGCACTCAGGTTTAGCGGCAGGGTTGGCACTCTGTGGTGAGTGTGTGGGCTTTGAACTACAGCTGGTCTCCAGTGCTGGTCTCTGGCAGGTTCACCCTCCCTGCTCCGGGTCCCAGGCAGCAGCACGTGCCTGTGCGGTGCCAGCCTGCACTCCTCCACACCAAGCTCCTCCTAGCTGGGCAGAGTGTGGGGAGTCTCTGGCTCAGCACCACAGCCGTTAGCACCAGAGGGGCTGGGCCATGACTAAGTGGGGCTCGCCAGAGCCCACTGTGGATCCTGCCCCGTTGGCAGGGTGTCTGACCAGCATGCCAGTGGGCCTGAACTCCAGGGTGGATCTAGGTCACAGAGAACAGAACGCCTGCCTAAGAAGGACACCTCTGCCCTAGGGAGCCAGGCATCAGTGGCTCCCCAGATAAGGGCATCCTCTCCACCCTGCATCTCTCTGTATCTCTGCTCACATGTGGTGGACAGGAAATAAGTATTTTATTTTATTTTATTTTATTTATTTTTTGGAAATCAGTATTTTAAATTGGCCTCCTGAGTAAAACTGTATGATAGGTTCCAAAAGACAGGCTCAGCAGAAGACTCTACAAATGAAATTTCGAGAAACTTGGAGAAGTGGGTGAAAATGCGACTTTTTTTTTCTGATCTACAGATTCTATTATCAAATTTAACCTATCTAAGCTCTTCAGTAATACCAATCTTATGGAAGTTTTCAATTATTTGGAAGAGTTATCTAGTAAGTAAAGAAATAAACATAAAAATAAAGGGTTCTTCCATCTAGACTTGCTTTGGGACCTGATGCAGTTTTCCCAGGTCAGTTTCTGAAGTCACTCAGTATCCCTCATACCCCTGAGGGACCTGGAGAAGCACAGGGATGCTCCCAGGCACCCTTCAGGTGGAGGGGAGCGAAGCCACCCAGCGCAACGACACAGCCCTGCTCCTGACAGGGTCTATAGTGCAGCAACAGGCTGTGGGTGGGGTCATGGTGCAGCTGCGCTGCTCTCAGGCTGACAGGGACCATCAGCGCCAGCCTAAGGGCACAGAGGACAGCAAAGAGCCTTGCATGGGGGAGGGGCCTCCCACAGCAGGGGTGGAAGACAGACCCTGAAACAGCCCTGGGGCATCAGAAGCAGGAAGGGCCCCAGCCTCTTTAAAACGCACCCCTTGACTGCAACTGAGACATGGTGCCATAGTTTCAAGCTATAGAAGTCAGTAAACCAGTACAGGGTTAAATGTTCATGTTCCCTGATACTTTACTCCTTCTTTAGTGGACATTTCCCTAACAAATTTGAGAAATACCAATGTTGCAACAGTTTCTTGTTTCAAAAGCAGTGCAAATCTTTTTATCTGCTTTCTGCCCATCAGTTCACTGCTCCGCTTCTGGACCCAAGGCTGAAAGAAGGCTGCAGAAGGGCTGCCTGGGTTCCCACACAGCAGAGTAACCTTGGCAGCGGGCTGTGCAGGTGTGGACTCCCGGCCACAAGGAGGTCCACCCAAGGCTCAGGACAGGTGTGCTACGGCCACGGTCATGGCTGCACAGGGCCCCAATCTGATAGCAAGGGTGAGCATGCCGAGGGCACCTTTAGAAAGCAGATATAAAACTGTGCATAACTGTAGGGTATGTGTACCTTTTTTGGGTAGACAGTTCATAGCATTCCTCAGTGGATTTATGGCCCCGAACAGGTTACAAATACTGTTTTGACTTCAGAAATGGTGTGTGTGTGTGGCTACACCCCACCCCCACCCCCAATGAAACTTCACACTCCATTAGGGCTCATGGGATTATCACCAGCTGCCACAGGAGACTCTTCTTCTAGTTAACTCCTTCCTGCTGATATGCAGCAGAGGAGTGTCTGGAACACACCTGAATGACAGAGCCATCAAGGCACCATCCTTAGGGGTACTTGGGCTAGCCATGCTTGTGAATGTGTGGTGTGTCTCAGTCTTTGCAAGTGTGCCATGAGGTAGGAATGAAAGTGGTGCTAAAGTCACCATCAACACGTATACCACACAGTAAGTCACAGCCCTGGTTGCACAGGACACCAAGGGGGCATGGCGGAGCTGCACCTCTAGACTGCAAAGGTGCGTGCTGATGGGTCTGGACCCCGAGATGGTCCAGTGGGACCTGCCACCATCAACCGCCCCACAGAACAACTGAGCATGTGCATTCGGTGGTAAACAAGAGAAAACAATTCCCTAGGCAACGCACTAAACACTGTTCGTATGAAAAATCATCAAAGTGAGACTATGGCATGACCCTAGAGTATCCTCAACTCTTAACTATATTTCTGAAAAATCTCAATGTGAACCCAGTGTAATAGTTCCAGTGTTTCAGCCACCACACATCTCCTGCTGGGCAGGTGGGCAGGTTGCTCTGGGCTGTGAGGGATGAGAAGGTGCTGTGGCAGAGGTACCTGAGGCAGAAACTCTCTCGCTAGGTCCAGGGCCTTTCTGTAGGCAGCGTCACCCTCCGGATTCTGCTCTAGCACGTGGCTGACTAGGCCCACAGCTTTGGCCTCTTGGCCATCGAGCACTCGTGCTGAGAAAATGAGCTCCTTGGCCAGGGACATTCCGATGGCACGAGGCAATCGCTGTGTTCCCCCTGCAAGGCAAGGCAGGCAACGGTCGGAAACCCTCCAACATAGCACCGCACTGTTTCCTGTGCTCCTGCAGAATAAACCAGGGCTGTAAATCTGTATACTACACACAGTCACTGGAAAATGACTTCAGAAGAGAATCCAACATCTTTTTCAGCTTATACAGTTAGTAATACCAAAACAAAAGAAAAAAAAAACATTTTAGAGTTTCTCATCATTATCAAACAATTTTGTGTGTGTCAGATAGATGATGTACCCCTAAACGCAACCCACGACGGCCAGTACGATGGGAGCAGCTGTGGAGAGACGCAGGCCTGGTCAAGCCCGGCACTCTTCTTTCAGCTTAGGAAAAGCTCACTTGCACATTTCTAAGGACTCTGCTATGGTGAATGAACTATAAACTTACTTTAATTTAGGAAAGATGAAGCAGACATCTTCATGTGGAAACAGGCTTTGCCCTATTCCATTCACTTTATTCGTCCACGCCCCATCAGTCCTGCTCTCTCTTCCCTTTTGAAGCTGTTCTCCTTCAGACATACCCACTTCCCAGTTTCTGGAAAATCCACTCAGTGAAGTCAGGCCCATGCACTTGGTGCTGACTCTGCACGGAGCACTTTGCAAATCTTGGGAAGTGGTCAGCTCCTCAACAGAACGCCGTGGTGCAGATGGCTCTCCAGGAAGAGGCCTGTGTGCTGCAGACGGGCCCATCTATCCAATCCATCTGCCCATTCACTACAGTACCTCTCAGTGAAGCTGGACAGAGGCAGGTGCCAGGCCCGGCCTTTGTCCCCTTCCACAAGCCACAGAACAGCTGTGATCCTGATCTGCTATGCTGCACCCTTAGAGTGGCTGCTGCATGGCTGAGGGCACGAGCAGCAGAGGCAGAGGAGAGCAAGCCCTCTGTCCATGCAAGCTGGCCTGGCCTCACCTGGTTCACCAAGTCTGAGCTGGTCTTTGTTCTCTATATTGGTCACAAGCATTTGAAGAGTAGATGGCGCTTTTATCCAAAACCAACCCCGCTTGCAAGCCGACTCCGTGAGCCTTCCGGGCACTGTATACCCTAGCCAGTCTCTCCACCCCCAGCACCAGCACTTCAGTGCAGCCACTCTCCTTCGGAGGAAAGGTAACTCATTTTTATCCGCATTTCTCCAAAAAACAGGAAAAGCCATAAATGCCACACATTTTGAGAAGCTCTTCAGCAAAGCATGCCCCAATTGGGGGGATAGAGCTCAGGACACTGCCCTTAACTGTCTTAAGAGCCAAGACTGCTATTTAGGGCAAACAAGTTCTAGAAAAGCAACAGAAAGCCCACAGGAACTGGGAAAGCCCGTTTTCAATAGAGATGGTTTTCAAACATGATGCAGTGATGCTTCTGCCGACCTGCTGTTCTCAGTTGCTGAAACTGCCCAAGAGGATGTAGTGTTCAACAGGAACAGCAGAAAATGCCTGCCCAGAGAGAAGCACTGCTGAAGCAGCAAACAGTGTCTACAGTGATGCTGTGCAGTACAGTAAAAAGAAGTCCCAGAACTCGCACGACGAGCTGCCCCACTCCGACAAGTTACTGATGGAGCTCACGACAGTGCTGGCCAGGACGCCGACACAAACCATGTGGCCCTGATGACTGCCTGCACGCAAGGAACTGGTGAAAGTTTTCATGAGACTGAAGAGTTTCATGGATATGGGATTTACAAGGAGTGCCATATGTTAAGAAATGACTTGTGTTTGTGTTCTGTGAAAAGTCTACTGTAGTTGGTGAAAATTCACAAATAGAACCCTTGTAAATGTCACACTTCCATTCAGTCGAAACTCAGCATGTCACAGTCCATGGAGTTCACACCTCTTCGCACTACTGCCCAGGAACATTCTCCAGGAAGAAGAGTTGCACACCCTCGAAGTGTGAGGGCCACAGAGGTGTGCCCTCACCACACAGCAGCGCACCCTCAAGGCTGGCACCCCACTGCTGCTCTGTGCACTGCAGGACGGTCTCCTGGGAGGAATGACGTGAAAGTCAGAGCACGTTGCCAGGAGAGTTTTCTGTTGGTGATGGTAATGTCATGGGATCCAGAGGAAAATCCTCACCGTGACCTGCCAGGGAGCACTGCCCCTAAGACTGGGTCATCTACTCCACCTACTTCCCAGAAAAGGAGCCCCAGTGTCTGTCCTCTGTGCCTGGGAAAGTACACTTGGCAGAGCAGGCCTGAGGCCTCTCACGTTTAGTACACGTCAGCACAGCACAGGTATGCCACAGCACCTGCGGACCACACCCTGCTGCTCATTTAACGTCCATGGCCATACCAGTTGCGCTGCCTTCCAGCAGTCGTGAATAAGCTGCTGTGTACATGAGTCCAGTGTACAAACGCTTCTTCAAAACCCTGCTTGCTATTCCTCTGGGTTACACCCAGCAGCAGATTGCTGGGTCACACAGTAATTCTGTTTAGTGTTTTTGAGAAGTCTGCCACAGCACATGAATCTTTTACACCCCAGTAGAGAACAATTCCAACTTATCTACACACTGTACTCACCAACAGCTGTCTTTTCGTATTTTGCATGTTAAGCACCTTTCCTTTACCCACTTGTCAGCTAATGGACACTCCGGCTGCTTTGAGTTCTGGGCTACTGTGGATACTGCGACAGTGAACATGTAAGTGCAGCCGTCTCGGCCTCGCTTCCTTTAGGGACACACACAGGGACAGGACTGCTGGGTCACAGGCAGCTCCACTGTCAGCAGGGGTGAGGGCTGCTGCTTCTCCGATGACCACTAGCAGCCACCACCTGTCTTTCTGAGAAGGCTCACTCTTCCTGAAGTCAGATGGTACCCACTGTGATTTTAATTTGCATTTTCCTGATTACTGATGTTGAACATTTTTTCATGTATCTGTTCACCGTTCACATGCCTACTTCAGTCTACACCTATTTTAGAATCGGGGTTAAGTGTGTCGTGTACATGTGTGGTCTGGGTTTATTTTGTCTTGTGCTTGGTAATGAGGAATTTGGTTCCTTATAAATTCTAGGAATCAACCAGCTCCCCAGAAAGTTTGCAAGTACATTTTCCCACTCTGTACGTCATCTCTTCACTCTTATGATTATAGCCTTGGCTAAGCAGCAGTTTTTTATTTTAATTTTTACTTGAGACAGGGTCTATCTAGTTCAGGCTGTCCTTGAACTCCAACATAGCCTAGGCTGGGACTGAACTGGAGGCAATCCTCCTGCCTCAGCCTCAAGAGTGCTGGGATTACAGGTATGCACCACCACGCCCAGCTAGCAGCATGCCATGTTTTATTTTGCTTTTGTTTCCATGCTTTTGGGCTCTTCTCTGAAAAATTCTGTCACAATTTCTATATCCTGAAGCATTTCCTTTATGCTTTCTTCCAGTAATTACATAGTTTCAAGTCTCATGTGTAAAGCTGCAACCTATTTTTAGCTAATTTTTCTTACTGGTGAGAGAAAATTTTATTTGTATGTGAATATCCAATTTCCCCAGCTCTCTTGAAAAGACTTTTCTCTAATGCATGTTTTGAGTATCTCTGTTGAAAATGACTGACTGTGAATGTATGGGTTTACTTCCTGGCTTCTTCTGCTTTGTTTCACTGACCTACATTCCTGTTTCAGTGCCAACACTACAGTGGGTTTTGACTACTACAGCTCTGTTGTGTATTTTGAAGTCAGGATTACAGTGCTTCTGGCTTTGTTCTATTCAAGCTGGCTCTAGCTAGTAGGGGTTTCTGTGCTTTGACACAAATTTTAGAACTGTTTTTTCCATTCTGAAGGAATTTGCACTACACCTGTGTAGATTTACTCTGGATGGGATAGGGACTTTAACAATATTGAGTCTTCCAACCCACACCACCAGGTACCTTTCTATTTCCTTCTGTCCTCTTTCACAAATGTTTTTACTTTTCATGGTAGAGATCTTCCACTTTTTCAGTTAAACTGATTACTAGATATGTATTATAAAAGGGACCATTTTTAGTTTATCTTGATTTTGTATCCTGAAATACTACTCAAGTAGTTTATTAGTCCCAAATCATGTCCAACCTGGACACAGTGACAATCTGACTTCGTCTTTTCCATCATGGGTTTCTCCTGTTTCTTTCTCTTGCCCAACTGATCTGCTGGCCACAATAAATAAAAGTAGCAAAAGTGAATATTGGTGTGTGTTATGGTCTTCTAGATCTCAGAGAAACTTTTCTGGCTCTGTGCATTCAGTAGTATGTCATCTGTTAGCTAATTGTTACATTTGTGTTTTTTGTTCTGTTTTGTTTTTTGGTACAGGGTCTCACTAAGTGGTCCAGGGCAAGCCTGAACTTCTCTGAACTGGGGGTCAAACTCATGATCTTGCACTTGCCAGGCAGGCACTTATGCCACTGAGCTAAATCCCCAGCCCACAAGCCTGAACTTTTTAAGTTGCTTGGGCTGGCCTTGAATTCATGATCTGCTTGCTCCAGGCACAGTGCTGGAAGAACAGGCATGCATCACCATACCTGGCTTAGCTGCTGAGTATTTACACGTGCCCACAAACAAGGATGGCCTTTACTATTCTAAGGCGTGCTACTGTGACTAATCTACGCAGAATTTTATCACAAAATGATGCTGCATTTTGTCAAATGCCTTTTCTGTATCTATGAAGACAAGCATGATTTTTGATCTTCATTCTGGGATAAGTTGATCACGTTTTGATCTGCATATATCGAGCATCCCTGCATCCCTGCAGTGGGATGAATCTCACTGCTCCCAGTGAGACTCCTTGTATGTTCTCTGGATTGGGTTTCCCAGTGTTTCATTAAGGACTTTCACATCTATGCTCATCAAGGATGCTGGCCTGTGACTGTCTTTTCTGTTGTGTCCTTGTCCAGTTCTAACAACAGGGTAGTGCTCATACTGTAGAAGAGTGTGGAAGAATTTCTTCCTCCTCAATGTTTTTGAAATAATTTTGAGAAAAATCAATTTTAGTTCTTTATAGTTTCTAAAAATTTATTTCTTTATATATTTATTTATTTACTTGTTT